AAAATAATATATATATTCAGGACAAGTTATACGTATGTACAACAAATTCTTCACACAATAGAGATTATAGGCATATCATAAACACTTTCTTATCAAAATTCCACTTAGGCCTATTCAATTGCTTTTGAATTTCAGTTGACAAGCCAAACTAACTTCTCTATTACTATCACACTAGCATTCTGTGTGTGTGTGATTCATTTACAATTCAGGCATGAATTACCATAACTGTTTGGTCTTATTTCTTCTAAACATCCTTTGTTCTTTTTGTCAAAGTGCACTCAGGCTGATTTAATTACTTTAGAATCACACTTTAATCATTATTTTTATCTCCTTTTCTACTGTTAGTCTTACTCTAACATATTAAACGTTAGGCCTATCACTTCTATGGTAGTTAACTTCATGCCTAACTTTTCCTTGCCTGTAACTTTACTCTTTTCTGCTATTGTGCCCATCTGCTGTTTCTGCTCATCTCACACTATTTACATCTTTATTCCTTGATCATCTGACTGCCTTCTATAAATTTCTATATTCTTGATGCTATTGTATTGCACACAACGTTCCACAGTCTCACCATCAATGAATTATAAATATAACTTCCTACAATTATCTGCTTTAACTCTTATTATCACAAAACCTAAACAATAATAAAATATTCAATCACAAAATAAATTGATGAATTATATATAAACTAAACAGTCTTTTATATCATGAAAAACTTAACATCAAATGTTGAAAGAAGAAGAATGCCATGTCCAAAATATCAGTTGAAGAAAGTCGACCCAACTTCCTAAAGAACTACCACACATGAAGCAAAAAAGTAAATTATGATTAGAAAAAAACATGCTATATTTAAATAGAGACAAATAGTACAGAATAGACACTGTCTCCCTTTGTCATGATTCAAAGAAAATGAGAGAGAGTTGCAAAACATAAAGGAAAAAAAGTAAATCATTAATGCAAAAAAATAATCAATTTGAATGAATCTATAAAAAACAATTTACCAGTAAGACCATTAAGAGTGACTCCAACAACATCCATATACCACTAGAATTTCTACTCCACAGCTGAGTACTGGTAAAAGATGCTTATTGGTTGGTGGTCTTTCATGAGTTAAGAAGTGTTTCAAGAATGTGAGACAATGCAGGAGAAATAAGCAAGAGAAGAGTAGTTCAATAATCATTTGTTAATGTAACTAACTATCCAACTGAAGGCACAGTACCACTGTAAGATCTACAAAATTAATATATTGATGTATGTCTGCATTTATGCAACAAAAACACTTTTTGTACAAGTTGTCTTTAATTAAACTTCAATGAATGCAAAACAAACTCAAATCATGAATCATTTATATGTAACTAAACAGGCTTTAATACTTTGTTTTTAATTCAAATTATATTTATCTGTACTTGTCTGATGCACTATTTTATTTTTTGATCATTCATTGACATGTGTTACTGTTATGTGTAACAGTTTCCTTCAAATCCAAGCACTTCTCATTTCCTGTAAGTTATAGTAATTACACTTTGAACATAAATGTCTTAAACTTTTAAATTGAGTTGTCTCTGTAAAAAAAAAGTAATAATATGACTTGTTAATTTTGTTAAACTAGTATTCCCAGTTTTTATATACAAACAATTATGATATAAGAAAGAGTAAGATAAACTAGTCTAAACCCA